AGAGTCCTGGATGCAAAAGGGTTTAGGATTTAGGGTTTAGGGTTTGGGGTTTAGGGTTATTATGGCTTAGAGATTAGGGCTTCGAGCTTTAATGTAGGGGCCAAATAATTACCTATATTATTTTGGTGGTTCTTTGTTATAAATATAGTATAATAAACCCCAAAACCCTATCCTAATTTTTGAGGCTCCTACATTGGGTGAATCAAGAGATTCGACGGGGCCCAAAAAAACAAAACCCTAAACCGAAGGGGGAGGATGTTCCAAGGCCTAAACTCCAACAAGCCCCACCATTTTGGGCTGCCGAGCTCACAGGCTCACTACGTAAAACACGGCGGGTCTTTGATTAAGGTCTAGGGCCGTCTCGGGTTTGGGGATTGGGGCGATCTGAAAGCCAAGGCTCTGGGTTTGGATTTTAGTGGGCTTGGGGTGAAGACTTTAAGGGCATACTGAGCTCTGGCATCAAACAAGCTGAACTCGAACAACCTCTGTTACGGATAAGTCAAAGAAGTTTGGGGCTCCTGTGAATTCTAGTGGTTTCTGAGCTTTCAGTGGTTGAATGTACGGGCAGGGGGATGAGGGTGTAGGATTTACCGTTCACGGTCTAGGGTTTTAAGGATGTAGGGTTGCAAGTAGGGGTGACTGTAGTGAAGAAGAACCTTGGTTTGTAGTCGAGACACCCCATGCTCAAACTCCTATATATGTGTTTTGAGCGCCGACAAAGCAGATGCCATGCAGATGGTGATGCCCGATCGAGCAAAAAGCCCAAAACGTGAGGATATACTTGTAGTATAATCCTAAACCCTAAACCCTAAACCCTCAACTAATTATAGTATCATACATTGTGCTATCAAACAAGGTTGAAGTGTGTAAGTCAGGCCCTCCTCCCAGAACATAGTTGGCCAAGTGGCAGCAGCAACAACAAGGAAAAGGCAGAGCTCCTCATCCCTTCGCGACCACCACAAAGGCAATTATAACAAGAAGAAAAATGAGGAAACAAACACTACAAGCTTTCTTAGTAGCAGTATTACTAGCAGTATGAAAAATAGTAGGAACAATAGAAAGGGACGAACAATCATAATAGTAACATAATCACCGCCACTGATAATCCCAGCTGCAATGACCCCATGACTATCACTTCTTTCTTCAGGCAAAGCCACTCTCCAACAACTTTGGTCGCCACATCAGCACCAGCATCAGCAGTGATCGTTGTTGATACAGTAGCATGATTGTTTCCTCGACTTTTCACAGACCATATACTTCTTGAAGAACCATCCAGTGAGCAGGACGTCCATCATTTTCGTGTGTGATTGCTTTCCGGCATGCTCAGCTTCTTGCTTCCTCTTGCCGTGGAGCTCTTCAACGTTCCTCTGACTTGAAACTCAGAGAGTTTGGGGCTTAGAGGCTCAGTAGCTGCTGCTGAGTCCGAAGCATTACGACATCCTGAACCATGCCTATTTCTGATTCCGAAGCCCCAAACCGGACATCGAACCCTGATCTCCGAAGATGTATGAAGTAAGCATAGACCCGGAAGGATGTGGGAGAGCATCCCTGTTGGGGCCCAGCCGCAGGAGGTGCAGAGAGGATTATAGTTCTACCTAAGGGTGTGGGAACAGATTGTTCAGGGTGACCACTATCAGAGAACACGCAATGTGCACGGATTACCTCACGGTTTCTTATTAATCCTGAGACGGCCCAATCTCGCACGATTCCTCGGAGTGTGGGGGGAGGAGGGGATCTTGAGCTATTAGAGGCTCCTGTGTGTTTCTTGTTGTTTACGTACTGTTCGTGGTTTGCCTTGGAATGCAAGACACACGGGGCTTTGGCTTTTGGGCTCGGGCTCCAAAATGGTTACGACCAACAGAGCCATCATCGTAAGCACCGTTCAGATTCTGTTATTGTTCACGACATCCTGGGGCTAACACGGCCCAAACGAAAGCTTGGAAGTTTCAGCCTCAATGGCTTTGTTGCATTCGGATGTCGGCATCCCCGACTAAGCAAACATCCTGGCAGCACAGCGACTCGGAAGAAGCTTTGAAAGGAACCTCTGAGGGAAGAGTAGAGTGGCATGGTCGTGTTTGCTGTGTGGGCTTCCACCTTAGACTCTCCACTATAACCCCAACCTCAACATGGGCCTTGGAAGTGGCAGACAGCAATGCCTGAAGTCGCGATATTTTAACCACTGCTCTCAAAGAACTCTGCATTCCTTGAGGCCCGAATCGTCGAGCCCTCATATCCACTTTTGAATCCATATTCTACACCCTCTAGACGCTAGGCTCTAGTGCACGCTTGCCCTCCCGGTGTCCTTTGTACTCCCGTCTTCCGACCCCGACGCTAAACTTCTAAGTCTATCCTAACCTCTCACCCTAAACCCTTCACCCGATGCCTCAGGTGGATCCGAGGACCTCTGGCGGATGGCTTTCCCCCCAGGGCTGGCGAGAGTTAGCCATCTTGGGTTTCGGCACCCGACACACCTGCATGGGTTTAGTGGTCGGGATGCCCGAGCTTAGACCGCAGCGGGTTAGGGATTTCAGGTCTAGAGTTTCTGGCTTCGGGATGAGGAGTTAGAGATTAAGGCTCACCGACTTCCGACTATGGATCCTCGCCTGGCATGTCCGAGTTGTGAGAGCGTAGCCCCAAGCAGGAGTTCCAGGAATTAGCGGTCTATTTCTGTGAATGTAGTGGTTCGTATGGTCTGTCTACGGGCCTCTATTCCCGACATGGACACTGCAGATAGCAGGCCATGAAGGCTGCGGCACGAAAGCAGAGGCGACAACATAGCGGGCCGCTACGGAATTTTGGAGATGGTGATTCGGGAAACGATACCTGTAAATGGAGACAAGAAGCATGCGGCAGCACAGCAAATTTGACCCAAAGGGACAGGTGGAACGTTGCACAAGGTGCACATAAGGATGAGTCGAGAAGTAGCGCAATCAGGCGCGAGGATTTCAATCAGCAGCGATCACAGTGATGGAGTAACCAATGGCGATTGGCCGCAGCGAGTAGATCTCGAGTCAGTGCCCGAACCACACATGGTACTGTACCACATGCATTGGCATGCATTGAGAAGAGTATTGACGCAGCTTTGGCCAGTTAGCACGCTCACTTAACACCTTTCACTAAATGCCCCTGTTGGGTGAGCAGAGTTTTCGCCAGGCAATGTTGGGCCCTTGCCATGTCTGCGGAAGCCCTGCTGCTGCACGGTGCTCGCGATGCAAAGATGTGGCGTATTGCGCTCCGGACCGGCTGTAGGCGGCAAGTGCTAACAGTATTAAAGGCTCATGGGACTTAGTAATTAGGGTTATAAATAAGGTAACTATACTTTTCACCCCAATCAGGGTACTTATAACTGTACTTATTAAGAGCACTTCGGAGCGGCGAGGATTGCCAGCGCACGGATTGGCCGAAACACAAGGATGTGTGCGGTCAGGCTGCAACAAAACTCTTGTGTCCACTCCAGTCGACCCGATTCCACAACCCGTACATGCACAGGCGCCAGCCGCGATGTTGAGGCAAGAGCCAGGCCAACTTGCAAGTGATGCAAGTGGCTCAGTGTGGGCCCCGGGCAGCCGCATGCAGTTTCCACCTCTGTTGTCAACTTCTCAGTGTGCGTTTCTTTGAGTGCATTACACCTTGGCAGATGTGCAGCCGAAGGTGATGCCCATGCAGAAGGAAATCGAATGGGATGCCGTTCGAGCGATGCTGGGGCAGGAGCTCGGGGCTTGCAGCCTTCCTAAAAGAGTCGTGCTGATGTCTGTCAGGAGTCCCGGCCAAGCATCAGCAACGCCTGCAGCTCAGACGTTGACGCACCGCTAGCCGCTAGCACTCGCCAGCCTTCGCTATATGTGGAGGCTGACAAAGCTGCTGGTCCTTCCGTGCCTTCGGCGTCACGCGGCGCGGCAGCAGAGCCTCAGCGTGAGCATGGAGCTTGCCAACCGCAGAAGACCGGAGGTTGGAGCACCCCGGCGACAAAACCCACACGACCCGCACCCCACGATGTTCGAGACTTGGTATGCTTTATTTGCTAGCACACTCGCAAGAAGCATCATTCGGACAGAGTGCCAGGTGCAGCTTGTTGGGCACCGAAGCATGGAGACGGCCCAAGTCGTCGTCAACAAGCTCAAGGACCAGGGTCACCCATGGTGCGAGGGTGTTTGTCCGGGTGTTCCGAAATGCCGAAATGTGAATGTGCATCACATCGCTGCGATGTTGCAAGTTGCCTCCCTTGTCTCCCGAGGAACGCGGCATCTGCGTCATTAAAGCCGGGGCAGATAGGTGGGCAGAGTTGTTGCACAGTGGCACTTTCAGTTCGTTCACGCTTTTGGTGCGGGGCATCCCAGCTTGGTTCCAAATGCAACGTGTCATGGCATCATGGCAACCACATCGATGGAAAGGGCGTATCAAACAACCCGATGTGAGAGCTCCAACCGGACACTACGTCAGCCTCTGGCCTCCGCTCAGCAGCCAGAACTTTGAAGACAAAAGAGTTGTGCATACTGGTTCCCAGGTAGACTCGCATAATAAGTGCCATGGTGCTGGGTTCTCCGTGGTGGGTCTGGGTGGCCGTCCGAATCTGAGCTCGCGATTATGCAGCCGCCTGGTAGATCGAATGCAAGTGCAGAGGTTTGCAGCCCTGCGCAACAAAAATCGCCAAACGATGCGACTGAGAATTGTGACCTGTAACGACCTGTGTCATGCTTCTCAGGCCTTGCTTGTGTGCCCGGGCTGTGCGCAATGGCGAGACGTGCCAGGCTGTGACTGACTTTTGAGCTGGTTGTGCAGCGTGCATCAACCCCTGTCCGATATCTTGCGACCTTGGAAGGCTGCTTCCTGCAAGATGCAAGGTTGGACTTCTTCATGCTGAGCTCTTTTTCGTGACTTCGCTGGAGCTTCAGTCAGGTATCTGTTAACCCATTTGGACCATGTCACGAATCCCATCCAGGCCATCCAGTTGCACACATGCACATGGTCAGATCAGACATGTTCGACACGAGCATCACAGCTGATCTTGAGATGTGGTGCTGCACGTGTCAGGCAGTGCTGGACCGTTTGGAGTGCCAGTTGCTTTGCAAGCAGACTGCAGGCCAGAGGGCGATATGATGTGACGCCGTCGCATGTGCCAACTGAATTGTTCATGAGGCTGTGGTGACTTTGTTTACTTTGCAGCCTCGAAGGCCGTGCCCCCAATGTGGTCTTGAGCCTCCCCTGCTTTGGTCGAAGCTTCTGCTAAGTTCTGCTATCTTGGGCGCAATCACAGCGGCGTCGTCGGCACGCAGGGTGCAGTGCCTGCATCTCAGCAGCTGAAACTTGTAGCACATGGCCGGAGTGCAAATTCTCGCCTCAAACGCTCCTCTGTTCAATGCTGTGTTGCACAGGTCTGGGCCAGTCGCGTGTGCAGAGGCTCTGATCTATTGCAAGACAGAAGTTCGACCTGAGCTGCTCGCGCATTCGTAACAGCCACTGTTTATCGCCCGCACCTGGGCCCAACATGTCAGGACAAGCCATCCGCTTGTGAAGACCTTCCCAAAAAGCAGCCACCGCTTCAGCTTGGGAAGTGCTCACGCGGCATGTGCGGTGGGCAGATGCAATCTGGCTCTAGATCTACGAGGTTCCCAGCAGAAACAGCTGAAGAGAGTCAGAGGCCAGCTGCCGGAATTCCAACTGGAAGTCGGCTCAGCAGTGCTTCTGTTTGGTGTCGGCTGTTCTGCTTGGACAGTGCATGGCCAAGCGGATTCACGCCGACAAACCTTCAGCCAGAACCTGAGTTTTGTGCACTTCCTTCGCGGTGCTTCACAGTGCTGATCTGCGCTTCGCAGGTGCTGGCCCACCAACATGTACTGGCAGCCTGCCTTCTGCAGGTGCAGCAGTGTGCCAGAGGGCAGGTGACAACAGCTGGCACAGCGTGCTGCGCAGATCAATTCCGCCCACCTCGATTGAAAACACATCGACTGCAGGGCCTGGGGCCTGGAGGTTACTCTGAGTTCCCGACAGCTTTACATGTGCCGAAGCCGAAGGCAGGCAGCCAAAATGCGGTGAAGATGGTATAGAAGTCAGAAGTTAGCCGAATCCGTCGGTGGAAGAGCGATAGCTGATCCCAACAATGATACCCGTCAGCAAGTCTCACATGCCGCATCTAAGTCTAAGCATAACTCTCAGACAGATCTCTCCCTACGCCGCGCTCACCGCAAACACCGTTGCATGGCCTTGCTCAGCTCCAATGACCCCAATGGTTTCAGATCGACTCAAGGAGCACAGGTGGCTCTTGACACTGGCTAACGGCGAACGTGCAGACATGCCTAGGATAAGTTCCAGGTGACAAGAGAGGCGTGAAGAAGCTTCTGAGTGACAGTGCTTGATGCTTAAACTTTCGTCTTCGCCCAGTCCCGCCATTGAGTTCATGCGAGTTGCAGTTCATACTGCCCCAAAGTCCCAAATCCAACATCCTTCACCTGAACAATTGGATGTGGAGATAGGGACGCGACTTGCACTGTGGAGGTGGTAAATTGCAATTTCAGGACGAACATGCTAAAGCTGCATTGCAACTTTCCGTCCAAGGCATTGTCAGGATTTGCAAAGGGTACACATCCCCGCCGAAAGGCTCACGCCCAAGCTGAAGCTGCTGTTATTGACAGTCTTTAGACGCAACTCGGCCTCATCGCGAGTTTGAGGTCATGTGCAGCAAGCTGTGCCGAGAACGTGCTGTGTGGCCACCTCAGTATTCCATCTAGCTGCAGTGGGACCAGGTCCTAAACTCTTATGCAAGAGAGAGCAGCAGACTGGTGACATGGTCGCCCCGGTTTGCAAGGTTCTGCATGGCAAGTGCGGATAGGTGAGGCCAGGCTCAGCTTTCTTGAAATCTTGCTATGCATACTGGAAGTGCGAGTTCGCAGTTCCCTGTCGACTTGTCGATGTCTTTTTGAGTGGCTCAAGTCTAAGTGTTTCGCCAGTAACCTGCTGCAGCGTCTCTTCATATCAGAAGACATGCTGCGTCTGGGGTGGCTCAGCTTCTTATGCTCTGCCTACAATCAGGTTACTGCAACAACACAGACAGTTGGGCTACGAGGTGCCAAAGAAACAGCACCGCGAGGATTGGAGGATGTTCCGAGTTGCAGCGAGAGGCCAAATTTCCAGCTGGCCATGAATGCGTGGTGTGGTCATCAGACTGAGCCTTTCGCGTGCTCGAAGGAGCGCAACAACGACAATCCCATATGGGACTGTCACCAGAGCACAGGTGCGCATTGCACTTCCGGTGCCAGCCTTTGTGCCTGGCCCGGGCAAGTTGCTCCTGCTCCGGTGCCCGCCGAGTCGACCGGCTCGCCACCTCCGGGCATTGGGAACGCAACACGCTTTGTGACGTGGAACCTTTACGTCTTCACTCTGGCCGGTCGCATTTATCCGGTTGTGGACGAACTGTTGAGGATGCAGCCGGAGATCGCTGCCATACCAGAGATGTGGAGTGAGAAGTTTGCCATCCTGGATCGTCTCAACCAGGTCTCCGGCAACGTGTGGGCCTTTGCACCTGGTGGTGCCACAGAGCAATACAATGATGCGGACATCCTGTATCGTTCTGACAAGTGGGAGCACGTCGCGAGCGATCTTGTTCCATTTTCGGCCGGTCGAGCCATCAACTGGGCAGTTCTGCGCCGGAAGTCCGATAACTACACCCTCATCGCATCAGGCACTCATCCACTGTGCTGCCTGGGAGACTTTGTAATCCTGGAGGCAGTGCAGTTTGTGACTAACGTCCTGCACCAGGTGCAACAGACACACCCGTACCCCATCGTCCTCATGGGAGACCTGAACACGGGGTACTTTCAACCGTCGCAGCAACTGCTCAGACAGGGTCAGGCAGATGGCTTTGGCAGGCACTGGACAGTTCCGCTAACTTTCACGGATGCATGGGCAGAGCTCCATCCCGGCAACCCTGATCCATCAACGATCAATGATGACCCGGTCCGCCTCGACTACGTTTACTTTCAGAAGACTCCGCTCTCAATGGGCGCTGCCGTGTCAGCATCGCAGGTTTGGCCTCGGGCTGCGGGCAGCGACCATCGTGCCGTCTCAGGAGACCTCGTTCTCCGTTAGTGCATGGCACCAGGGCACATGGTGTCCAGTGCTCCTGGCAGTGCTACAGTACAGGGTGTTGCCTGCTGGGGTGTGTGGGAGGCTGTTATGTGCGGTGACGGCTCATTTTTGACCAGCTGATCCACATTAACATTATATGCCAATTCGGTAGTGAATTAGACACTCAATTCAGCATTTTGGTCGTGCTTGCCTGCGGCAGCATGAGAGGGTTTTCCTAGTGTGCTCAAGACGAGCTGCGCTGAGATTGTTGGGTGCTCACTTCCTCCTTCATTCATTTCGTGTCCAGATGTATCATGAAGGCCCGGGCGCTTTTGCGCTGTGCCACCTGAGAACAGGTGTTTTCGTGCCCGCGGCTGTGATCTGGTGACCTGGACCCCGAACTGTACAGAACATGGGCCTTTGCAAGGAACGGAAAAGTGTTCTCCCTGTCGTATCAACAGGACGCCTCAGACATGCCCTGATGCTTACATGTCAGCTCACACTTGCAAGGCTTCGCTGAAAGAATGCTTCCAAGGACAGGAAATCGGGTGAAATACTCGCAGCTACTTGTTCCCTCTTGCTCCAGCTGTAGCAGGTGTTGGGAAAGACTGCTTCGGATCCGCGGCTGAAGCAAGCATTGTTGATGCTGGGCGATTTCAGCATGGCGTCTATCGCGTGACCTCCGAGCTTGCGAAGTCGTTGCTTGCGAAGTCGTGGTACTTGGTGAAGAGAGCAATGGACCCCTTAGAGTTCATGTTAGGTACTTGCCGACCTGACGGGGGTTGAGCTGGAAGGTGGGCAGATGTGGGTAGCACCCAATATGGCTAACCTTTTTGTGGGTCTCCAAGATTCGCAGCCAGGTTTGAGCCTGATGTTTGGAACAGTGAGCGTCCCCGTTGTCAGCCAAGAGCAGGTCGTGGGACTGTGCTTGTCTGTAAATCTGTAAATGCGTGAACCCTTGGAGTTTAGGCGGTACATCGCTGCGCTAACCTGTGTCTGTCAATCCTGGCATGTCAGGCGGGGCGTGCTCGCATTCAGACATTCAGAGTCTTTGTAAGTGCTTTGTTGACTCCTGTGAGAGGCGTGGCAATACTCCACGTCGCAAGGGTGCTACATCCAAGATCCTTCTCAGGAGATGCCCTACCCCCCCATCATCAGGAAAGGCACAGAGCTTGCCAAGACGGCTGTGGCGGGACAGTACATCCAGCGCGTCTGCCCAGGTGAAATGAGTCACCTTCGAGGAGACCAGCCGAAGCCCGCGCATCCCGAGCCCGAGGCACCCAAGGTGGTAGTCGTTGATGCGGATGCCGCCGCCCCGCAGATCCAGAGTCCCGATGGAGAAATCGAGGACGCTGTGATAAGGACAGTCCAGGCCACAACGCAGAGGCCCGACGCAGAAACAACAGCTGTCCCAGCCGGCGTGAGTGCATTGACTCCACCGGCTACAGCTGCCGTGCCAGTTTCTGCCATTCTTCCCGTGAACTCCACACCCGGAGCCGGGGCTGAAGCAAACCCGACAACTTTGCCAATCCCAGTTTCACCTCTGCCAGGCTTGGCGAAGGTCACAGGGCCTCCATCGGTATCAATCGCACCGGCTATAGCGCCAGCTGTGATTTCAACAGCGGCTGCCGCACCCACTGCACAACCGATTGCCGCGTTGCCTTCTGCACCCACTGGCGAGCCTGTTCTGGTTGTTGCCAAGAACGGACCCTCCGAAACGCGCTACAGGGAGAGCGGGCTCAGCGGTCAAGGCAACATGCTAGTGTCAAAGCCTGCACAGCATCTCGAGCATCATGCCGAGTGGCCCTTCGTCATTTTCGGCATTTTGGGTCTGATTCTGGTCTGTGCTGGTGCACATGCCCTTCGCGTCTACGGCAACAAGAAGGCCAACTACTATTGCCTCGACCCCGAGGAGTCTGACGATTCTTTGCTCCATGGCTGAGCGACAAAAGAACGCACTGCGGTACTCGTCGCATCGCGGAGCATTGCATTGCATTGCATTGCATTCCGAGCCTTGATCCGATGGCCCTGCAGGTCATTCCAAAGAGCCGTTCACATGGAGGCGAAGCAACTTTGGGAGCCTCGGCCGCATCGGAGCGCAACTCAGCAAGCCAAGGGAGTTTTTTGTCACTTTCCGCACAACTTTGCTGAGGATGCCGGGGCCTACACCAGCGCGAGCAAAGGCAGTCCATCCACGCCAGGCCGGAATGCTGCTGCGATGCTCAAGCTGAAATGCAAGGAAGGGCTGTCTGGAGAGGGGTGCCCTTGAAGGCATACCCTTGGGGTGTGCAGATGGGACTCTTTTTGGTGGCTCAGTGGCTTTCGAAGTTGTCAACCTCTCGTACCACATCCGATTTTCCACGCAGAAAGGGTAGAGGCAGTGTGGGTTTTGGACCCGAAGCCAAGATGCGCCAGGTGGCAGCGAGATCCAGTTTAACGCGAGAGATGATAAGGACGCAGCCTCAGCGATCGAAGGGCCGAAAGATTCTTCGTCATCAATCGTCTACAGTCAGCTTACCAACGTTCGCCCCTAGATCTTGAGCGCTGGGGGTGTCGTGGTCGCCGGCGGAGTGTCCCGACATTCCCAAAGTGCCTGCAACATACTTCATTCGTTGTACTTGGCTCAACATCCCAAGACAGAATGTCTGCTTGTGGTGTCCTGTTGGCCACCCTGAACCCTAAACATTGGCAGCTGGGCGGGTGGGAAAAAAAAACATTGGCAGTTACGGGCCGCAACTTCAACACCGCATCCTCGATGCCACAGCGTATGTAGTTCCAAAGTCGCAGTCGCTTGCACGTAGACCGGGTGTCAACGGAGCAGCTGCATCTCCCGCAGATCGTTACCCGTTACACTATCTTCACACCCTTTTAAAGGCATCAAAGGCTCCAGACGAACAGGGCAGTAAACGCATCGCAAGGCCAATAAAGCGACAGTTGTGCCGGGGCGCAGCGTAGTGCAGATCAAATTAATCCTTTGACAACGACTCTCGACTTTGGCAGTCCGCAGAGAGGAGAAGCTTGGGGCTGGTGGCCATCACTACTGTACCGGGTTCCGGCGACCACACGCCAAGCTTCGCGGAGTTTTGAGCTTTTCCCGGCTTTTTCACCTGCGAAGGGATGCTTAATGGTGACCTCCAGCAATTCACCACAGCGACGTCGTGGCGCCACCTCCGCGGACCAGTGCGACTCCAGGCACGACAGAGAAGCCACGGGCTTCAGGCAGCCGCTGGCAGGTAGCCGGGGGTTCCAAGTCACAACGGAGGCGCAAGCTGGGGAGGTATGGGCCCCAACAAGTTCCACAGCCTAGCTGGCAGCCCAGAACATGCACCTGAGGCTTGCTGTAGTGGATGCCGACCTCTCAACCAGCTATTATACCTTCAACCCGGCGGGAAGCTATTATACCTTCAACCCGGCGGGAAGCTAACCGAACTACCTGTTGTTGCTGCTTCGCTCTTCCATGGCCGTGCAGAGATGGGATCCCGAAACAGGCCGCAATGTAGAGAGACAGGAATCAATGGTGTGATGTTCCTAGCTGTAGTGATCAGGCTCCTACCTCAGACCTGCCTTTCATTATGGAGAACAGAGAATGGCGACACATCCTGACCTTGAACAGCAGCAGCTGACTTGCGTGCTAGGGATGGCGAGACACCTGATGACCCTTCTAGTCTTGTCTATATGCTTGCTCATACTTTTTTGGCACTGTGTGACTTTGTTTTCCTGGTTGTTATCTGAGGGGGCTTGCCTCTGATCTGGTCACCCGCGGCGCCGCGGTGGTGTCAAGTGGGCTGATAGACAGTCCCCGGCGTGGGCCTGCCGTGGTGTGCTCGGGTTGACAAGGGATGGCCTTTGGCAACAGCTTCGCGGGGGAAGGCTGCTTGCACGGGGCATGGGCGGTGGACGCTGATCGCAAACTGCTAACTTTGAGCATCCTTTAGCATGCTTGGGCACCTGTCACGCTGTGATGTAGCCCGAGTTCCTTTTGTGTTCGTTTTGGTGAGGGAGCTGCGCGCGCGGCTGGCCGAGCCCGCACGTACAGCTACTTCTTTCTGCTACTTCCACACGTGATGTAGTGTTCCGTTCCTAAGATCTCCCATCATTATCTGATATCAGAGACCTTGGTCGGGTCTGATTTGCTACGCTTAGAGGGGTGTTTTCCCTGTCAGCTGCGTTGCTCCGGCGAGTCTGCCATGGCGGCTCTTTTACAAGACCCCATGGGCGCCTGGAGCGCCGGGGTGGCAGTCGATCCTCCACCTATTACCTTTATTTTACAGGAAGAGAGATAGAGTGCGTTGATGCAGCGTGGTTCCTGTGCATGTACCAAGGTCATCTGCCTCAGCAGTGCCGTCATGGATGCGCTCGGCAAGAAAGCGCAAGCCTTGAAGGCATCGTTCTGCTTTGGGCTTCAAGTCACTCAGTTGTCGTGCCCACTTCCGGGCCCTGATCAGGTGTTAGACACGCAGCTCGGGGACTTCGGCTGGGGTGTGCACAAGCTGCTGGAGGAGATGGCGTTGCGTTCGTCTTCGTGTCTTGTGTCCTTGCAAGCGTTGTTGACAGGAGCAGCTGGGCTTGACCCTAACCAAGCGCACGCCGGGCATGCTCTCGTGCCTTCTTGTACACGTGTGTTTGCAAGTGCTTGCGCAAAGCTAGCAAACCCAACTAGGTGCTATGACGGCAAGACCGTTCCTGACGCTCAGTATGGCTTCCATGTTGACAACCCATACCTGCGCTGTGGCTGCATATGGAAGTACCAAGCAGCAAACCAGTAGAGATGGGAGTGGGTCTGGTGTAGTTGTTTATCAGAATTGTGGTGGGGGAGTTGTTTCAGCTTGTACGATTGATCTTGGTCTCACGGAGCAAGTGGGGGCAACAGTTTTCAAGGACAAACATGGGCGTCCCAGATGACGGCAGGACGCCGAAGTGTAGGTGTGGAATCCACCACTGGATGCACGGATGCTGGACATTGCTGCTTCTGTGTGATCAGGAGGTTAACGCTTGTCTACTACATTGCCGACGGGCCGTGGAATGTCGAACAGGCGGCGGTTGATCTTCCTGAGAAGTTCGAGGCAGAGAGGATCTGGTTCTGAACTGCAGGATGGAGGCGCTCTGCAGGCTCCGAGCAAAAGCCCTGCCTAATGATCAGAAGTCGAGCCGGTGTGGCAAGGTGTGCCTCTCGGATCCCAGAAGGGCTCCGAGCTCCACTGCCGAGGCTGACGCCTCTTTGTCTCCCTCTCCACATGCCAGCTGCTCCTCCGCGCAGGCCTTGACTCACGACCTCTTCACGGTTGCCCCAGAGGGGGACACACTGGTGCGCCCTGCCATGCTCTGCCGCTCCTTGCGCACTACTGCAGAGCCCATCTCTGCAGTTTCCGTGCTGCAGGTCGCCTTCTTCTCGCACACCATGTCCCTCACCTTCACTTGCAGCTGCACTCTGCGAGTAGCAGTCAGACACTTGGATTTCCTTTAACGATCTCAGGTTCCATGCAGTGCTGCCGGTGAGTGGGAGGAAGCCGCGCTTCGCCCTCTCCACCTGGTTTATGGGGTGCTGACGGGACAACGGCCAACACCCTCCATTAAGCTCGGCAAAAAAAAAGCAGCACTGATGGGCCACACCTGAAGCGCTACTTCCCAGTTGCTTGCTCCGTGTCTGCTTCGTTGGGCCGGGGCGACTTTCGGCTGTCACAAGAGAGGGCAAGAGGCAACATGTGCACCCTCCTGGTCAGCCGTGCAACACGAGAGGCAATAACCCTTGCTTTGCCATCTTCCCGACGGTGCCTATCCGCTAGACAAGCCACAAAGCACCCTTCAACATCCAAGTGAAGAGAAGTTGGTTGGTAGATTTTCGCTGCTCACCCGGCTATGGCAGCCGACCGCTTAGTCTGTCGGTCGTTTGGGTTTAATTCGGGATTCTCGCAGTCTGAAAAGAGCCATGGCACGTGAACTTCGCAGGCAGCCATTCCAAAGATTGGCCGGGACCTGTCTTTACATGTGTCTATCCTCAAGTACGAGGTGGCACTGCGCTCAGTGGGCAAGCTGCATTCACGAAACAAGCTCACCCGCAACTGCACATTTCCTGGTGGGTCGAGGTCGAAAGCGGCCAAGAGGCGCAAGGCATAGCCAAGGGCCTCGAAGTGCTGAAGGCGCATGATCTGAGCTGCGTTTTCCCAACTAGTACGGCCCGGGCATCCGTTGCTTGCCGATATCTGTTCCCACTGCAGTGCGTTTGTCTTGGTTCTGGCCGTTCTGTTTTTCGCACACCTTTCCATGCGGCAGGCACGAGTGTCCTTGGCCAAGACTGGACAGCATGTCGAATACATCTTACAGGACGGGGCTTGCGCTTTCATTCAGAGTAGTGCGACAAGGCATGAAATTTACCCGAGAGCTTCTCGTTTTTCTTCAGCAGGTTAGCATGAACAGCTCTTCGCCCTGGACGCTGCTGGATCCTCTGTGTGATTGGCCGCCGCTTGCTTCTGGCTTGTGTTTTCAGCCCAGGCGGCGGCGCTTCAACGACGTGGCGGTCATGCACGAAGCCTTGAGGAGGCGTGGGCCGTCGAAGCCCCAAAGCCGAAAACCACAAAATACAAAACGCAAACAAGAGTCCAAACAAGGGAACCCAGTGAATACCGAAACCGAGCTGCAATCGATGGAACGGGCCTTCGTGGCGACGCGAGGCGGGTGCCTTCCCTGCCGGAGCTCCCTTCGAAGTCTGTCGGAGGCTGAGTGCGAGCACAGGTTTAGTCAAGGCATCCGTATTGGCCGAAGAAAGATGTCCGAGGTCGTTCGGCAATTCAGCAACTCGGCTAAAGTCACATGTTTGCTTGAGCCCTTCTCCGAGCTCAGCTCCAGCCTAGAGTAAACCGTGACAGCAATGTTTGTCGAGCTTTGGCTTGAAGCGGGTAAGATCGTCTGAAGCTTGCAGGCTTGTAGCATTGGTGCCATGGCTTTCCGCTTGACCTACCGCCGTCAGTGCCGCTACAACACCAAGTCCAACAAGCAGCGCGTCGTGAAGACTCCCGGTGGCAAAGCAGTGTACCAGGCAGTCAAGAAGAAGGCAAAGGGCCCACACTGCGGTGACTGCGGCAAGGCCCAGGTTTCTGTGAGTGGGAGTGTGTGTAGGACGTCAGAATCGTAGTGTAAGGGTCAGTGATGCCAGCTCAACCAAAGCGGATGCAGGCTCTGATTGGCCTGCCACGTTTGCGCCCGATCGAGTACTCTCGCCTGAAGAAGCGCGAGAAGCGTGTCAACCGTGCCTACGGCGGATCCCGATGCGCCCACTGTGTTCGCGAGCGTGTTATCCGGGCCTTCCTGATCGAGGTGTCGAGGCTGCACAAATCACATTGATCAATCAACACTATACAACCACCCGAGCATGCAGGTCCAGATCCTGGACCCGAAACTCCAAGCCTTCTTAACTGCCCCAAACCTTGAAGACCCTTAAGCCCTAAGCCCTATGCCAGCCGTACTGCAAGCATTACGACTTGTACCAAATTGATGACGATGGTCAGCATTGCTATTGTTGCGTGGTGTTTCATTATGTTTCTTCGTCCAATGATCCTTATTGTTAATCCTGGATTCTCGTTGTGAATGAGAAGCTGTTATTCCCGTGGCTTGTAACCAAAATATGAGGACCCATGCAAGCAGTCACTGCACTTGTAGTGACACATGACGGAAGTCTATCCCCAACGTGTTTGGCGGGCGAATATTCCTCGCAGTATTTTCTGGAGCGATGAACCACGCCATGGAACTTCATTCGCAGTAGCGGGTTGAGGCCCAGGTAAGGCCTCATGACTGAGCGGGGTGTTTGCAGCCCTCCGGCAAGTACCTGCAGAGCTGCACCTTGATTAGCACCCCCCGCCTTCTTTCAGGGCAACACCCCACATGGCCTAACACTAGGAGGCTGCGGCAAGCGATGATTCACTTGGTCTTCCTGAGGAGCAGAAGTGCGTCAAGCAGGTCCTTGCCGAGAAGCTGTCGCAGGCCAAGGAGAAGGAAGGAGGTAAGAAGAAGAGCAAGAAGTAAATCCTTTGCGATGGAGCACAACAAACGCGCCGCTGCATGCTCGGAGCTGTTCAAAAACAGGAGTTCGTGTGCCGGCATGACCTGCTCATGTGGGTTCTGGCCACTTATTGTTGGCGATCCTGAAGATCGTTTTCCTTTGACAAGGTCCGGAATACCTGGAGTCCCGGAAGAACGCCCTTGCCGCATACTTGAAACTTGTCAGCATGTGGCCCTTCTGACGTGATTCTCTGCATATCTCTGCATGAACCAATCCCGTCCCATGGATTATGTGTTCTGCTGCCGGACATGAGGCAAGGGTCGTCATCTCGGTGAACGAATTTGCTTCACTGGGATCCAGTGCAGATGCCAACATCTTCAACATGACTTGTGCCCTAGGTTGGCGCACCGCAGAGATATTCTGAATTGCTTCGAGGCGCAGGAATTCTTCGGAATGTACGCCTGCCCCACTTCCGAGGGCGATACCCAAGATGGGGTCAGAAAGCTCCATGAGCACAGCATAGCCTTGCCAGGTGTGAACGCGACCAGACGCTCCGCCAGCTTTGCCCTGAAACGATCCGACAGATGTGAAGACGTGCAGAGACGAGCAGTCAAGGCCAAGCGAGCGCGAGCCGAAGTTGGTGTCCGAGGCAGAGTCAACTTCCCTAGGACTGTCGATGGTTGAGGTTTTGAGACAAGGCTGCGACTGGGAATACCAGCAACTCTTGTATCTCCACTGAGCTCCTCTTCCGCACAGGTACAGGAGGCGGCTTTCGGCATTACTAGCTTCGCTGCTCCGGCTGGTTTGGGTTTTCATTCTGGTGCTCGAGTTTCTGTTTCTTTTTTGCCAGGTTTATGAAGCCAGTCGTGGTGCAGAGCTCAGTCTTGAAGCCCCCGATGCGCGGCCCCTGCCTTTCTTCCAGGTTTGCTGCTCCTTGGGGTGCGCTTCCCAGAAGTCCCAAAGCCCCTGCGCATCTGCGTGCAAGTGCTGCTTCTCTGGGACAGGCTGCGGACTGCAACTGGATTTCCCGTATGGATACGAAGCCGCTTGCATGAAGAGAGTGCGGGACTCTTTCGGGGCTGTTTCACTTCAACAAGGCTCACAAACATCAAGTTGCCGTGGGAGCCGGTGGCCAGAGTCTTGGTGTGCCTTCTTTGGGTGTTGTGCATGGATATTGGTTCTCAGTGACAGGCACCCGATCTGCCCAGCTCGCAGATGAGCTTGTGGAAGGAGCCCGAGCCTCTAATGGTGGCTTCGCCGACCTATCTTCACACATCCGTCGATGTAGGTCCCCACCGAACTCGAAGAGCTACCAACTCCAGCCTCTTGCCTGCAGGAGCATAGGTCCTGCACGCCTGTCTTCTGGCTTTCCCAGGTTTGCCTGCCGCTATTCCGCCTCCATCTCCTGTGTAGTAGAAGCCTGAGACAAGACGATGCTGCAACAAAATGCCATCAGAGTCTCCTGAACTGTTTCTGTGCACTTTAACTAATTGCTGCAGCGCATGCAGTGAAGTCTGTCTGAGGCTTTGGTCATTGAGGAGGGAGGTTGCTGCCTGTGTGGTCTGAGTGCATGGACCTCGGACATGGGTTCTGTGTCGTTTCGTTTGTGTTGCTCGTACAGTTTGCCAAGAACACCATGGTCGAGTCATGCTCACCCCCTGAAGCCGATCCGGTCATGGAGCCTTGCACATCTCTCTCTCTCTCTCTCTCTGCAGTGCATCGAAGGGTGAGGGTTCGGCCTGAGGACGGTGCTGTCGGCTTTCAGAAGATGAGCGCGCCCAGCGGTGTGCATCCCCCAAACCACATGACTGCCGTTGTGTTTGTGCCGCTTTGACAAACGTTTCATGTGTGCATCCGACATGTGTGGCGGTCTGCGGCGCTGGACTTGAAGTGCTTCTTCAAACGTCATCACATGAACATATATGTCTATATCTATATCTATATCTATATATCTATATATCTATATATCTGTATGTATGTATATATATATATATATATATATACGCAAGTAGCGCTCCAGGTCTCTCGCGGGGCTACCCTGCCCTTGCTGAAGCACACGGCCGCCGTCGGAGTCCAAGCGCGGAAGGTGCAATCTTTATTTGGGACTTTCCAAAAAAAGGGGGTACCTTATTTTGGGGTCCTTATAATAAGGATCCTATTATTTAGGGTACTATATTAGGGCCCCCTATTTTCGGAAACCCCCATTTGTTCCGGTCAATTGGAGGCCTTTGGAGTAGAGTGCAGATGCAAAATCTGAAGCTGAAGGTCTCTGCCCTGGCCGTGGACGAGCGAGCGCAATGGCTTTTCTCGGCAAGCAAGGACAACTCCCTGAAGGCCCTTCGGCCGGACTTGAAGAAGCCACGCAAAGCCACAGACCCCAGGGCCCAGGCCCCCTTTGAAGCCTAAACTCGAAGATGGCGGCAGGTCTACGACCTGGTCAGGCCCAGCCTTCCTGCTATTTGGGAGTTTCCGAAAATATGGGGACCCTAATAGTGGGGTCCTTACAAAAAAGGATCCTACTATTTGGGGTACTAGATTAGGGTCCCCTATTTTCGGAAACTCCCATTTGGAAGTCGGCCCTGGCTCCGTCGCGCTTGCGGGGAGGCAGATGATGCAGTGCGAGACGCATTCGCCGACCCCCACCACATCGATGCATTTCGAAGAGGCAGATGGTGGCCAGGGCCGTCAGAGAGAGCGAGAGAGAGAGAGAGAGAGAGCCCTATGGAAAGAAAGAGAGAGAGAGAGAGAGAGAGCATCGGCTCCTGTACTGTTTCCGCCGAACTGACGCGAACCTTGAGGGTGTTGGCCTACGGGCCGGGGGGTTTTGGCCCCCCAGACCCCAAGCAAGCAAACAAGCAAACAAGCAAGCAAGCAAGCAAGCAAGCAAGCAAGCAAGCAAGCAAGCAAGCATCGGTTCCTGTTGCATTGTTGCTTCTGTCAGCCGACCCTCACCGTGCTGTACTGTGTTGCTTGTAGGTCGGTCCTTACCAACCGAAATGGTGGGCGGACAGTAAAGGTGCAACTGATCCAACAGTTTAGGCACTGAGGGGGGTAGCGGTGGTTGCAGGCACTCAGGACTTAGCCATAGAAGGCGCGGTGACGCGGCCGGGATGCGCGTTAAAGTTCAGGGAGGGGGGATATGCAAACACTGTACTCTACCTAGCATGCCCTCCGTTGAGCCAACCTTTTCCGCTCATGACCCCAAAAGCTTCTTTTCTTCGCTCCGAAGCACAGGGGGACGAGGGTCTAACTCGCACCCCACACGCCCAGCAAGCAAGAGAGAGAGCTAGATCAAGCGAGCGAGAGAAAGCTCTCTTTTTCGACATCTGCTCAAGGCGCAGCAGAGGCTGTTCACAGGCCTGCAGAGCGGTCAGATCGCGGCGGCTTGGCCTAGTCTGGGCCAGCGCCGGGGCCACGGCAGCTATGGGTCCTATGGCCGAGGTTTGGGACACGTCCGTCCTGCCTCTGACGCTGCTTTGCAGCGTTCCTGATGGTTCGACGGCTGTCTCAAGGCAGCCACGCAGAAGGTCGAGTATTGTGGCGTAACCCTTCGGTTTGCGAGTCGATGCAAGGGGGAAGGGCGGTCATCTGTTCTCCAACTGTTTGTGCTTCTTTGCCTCGCAGTTATTTGTCTTGAGTCTGATTTTCAGTGTGTGGTCTGGTTGGTGGTGCATCCCTGGCCGACAACGTCTCAGAAGCTGCAAAGGGGTACAGCAACCAAAGTCGAACTTCGAGTCAGGGTCAGCGGCATGGATTACGAGGCGTCCACAGGAACGTGCCTTCCTCGGACACATTCTTCCGAATTGCTATTCGGGTGTGTTTCCGCCTCGGAGGGCAAAACTTGGGTTTTGCGTCTCAGAGCCTCTGATCTAGGCAAGATGGCACAGATGCCTCGGCGCCGCAATTTTCACAGCTCGAGGCTTTTGGTCGTAGGTCGTCAGCGGCCCTTGAAAGCCTTGCCTAGTACTCCTTGGCATTCGAAGGCCAAGGACGGGTCCTTGAAACCGAGAGGATGGGCAGTTTCAAGAGCAGCCTCTCCTGTACGATAAATCAATATATGATCTTGTTAAATAAGCAGATGATACATCAACAAACACATGCATGCACATCTCTACATCTATAATATCTACATGTATCTCTGTATTTATGCCTATATGTTGTATATAGATATATATGTGGATATATATATATATATATATACATATACATATACAAACACAGATATATGTCTGTCTCTCTCTCTCTCTCTTTCTCTTTCTCTCGGTCTCTCTGTCTCTCGCTCTCTCGCTCTCTCTCTCTCTCGCTCTTTCTCTCTTTCTCTCTTTCTCTCTTCCTCTCTTTCTCTCTTTCTCTGGCTCCCTGTCTCTCTGTCTCTCTCTCTCCCTCTCTCTATCTCTCTCTCTCTCGCTCTCTCTCTCTCTCTCTTTCTCTCTCTGTGCGCTATAGAGGAACTATGGACTCTGACAAGAATCATGGCCCAAGCTTCAACATGGACTTGTTCAAAGATCCCGAACCTTGGATTGCACTCAAAACGAATCATGCGGGCAGCACCAGCAGAGACAAAGACATGCTAGCGCTGGATGTGTCCTTGCGACCTTATGCAAGTGCGGCGAAGTATGGACCAGCCAAGGAAAAGCTGAAATTCTTTGTTATGAAGCGCCGGAGCCGCAAGAGAGATGCCAGCCTTTGGCTGAAACCTGAAGGCTGGAGGCTTCCGTGTACCGGTCTCCTGCCTGCTTCCGAAGGTACTCGCAGACAGAAGCCTTCAAGTGCCTTTGACGCACCACTCAGGGTCCTGGCAAAGTCTGACAGAAGACGATGCTACTACCCCAAAACCCTAGACTGTTGCAAGATCGCGCGCTTTCTTGCGGGGGAGGATCTGGGCCGGCTTCGCAGTCATCGCCTTCGTCGTCTTCATGTTGGTATCCAGTGGCGATTTCTCTTTCCTCCTGACTTTGGGCTGCAGACTTGGCGTCTTTGCTTCCGGGGCTGTTGCGTGGTCTCTTCAAGCGCTCGGAGCTAAGGACGCTCTCCTCTCTGTTGAGCATGCCCCTGGACTTGACTCACAGAGAAGAAGTGGAAGCTTCAACGATATCGTGAAAGAATGGCCTGTGCTTTTAGACACGGGTGTTGGCGTTTATGCGCTAGAGACATCTAGAGGCTATGGACACTATGGGAACTCCAAGGCAACACAGAAGCCGCGTAGTTGCTTAGTTCCCAGGTTCAGCTTCCTTATGGTCGCACTGAAGATGGAGATTGGCCGCTCCTGCAAGGGAGTGTCATTGAAAATGATGGAGTGCCTTGCTGGAGGAAGTGATGCTGGAGTTGTAGCTCACCTTAAAATCCTGTGGCATTCGTTCGCGCGAATTCAGGTCTTACCTAGTGATCTTCTTTTGCCGCCTTTGCGCCATCATTCCTTTCGAGGGCTACCTTCCATTTGACAAGCTTCTCAGCTGGAGTCACCAAGCGTCAGTGATGGCTGAAGAGCCAGTGTGACTCACTAGTCTCGAACGAGGTCAGGCGACTGGTTCTACCAGACTTGCGAGGCCGCGGGGATGCCGCCGGATACTGCTTGGCCTGTTTTCTGCAAGTGACTCCCCAACCAGGCGCTTGGTTTCTGCCTTGCGGGTACGCCGGGGGCTCAGAGACTACAGACTCGATGGCAAGAACGGTCATCTTACTGCGTTAATTACGGGCCCGTGCTGATGCCCTGACGTGCCAGCCGACTCGACCGAGGATAGTGTACTTCTGCCGCGTAAAATATGCCGCAACCTATGATCCCGCAGCTCGGATGCAGAGGCAGTGACCCGTGTCATTGCCAGACATGCCCGAAGCCTGGAGCCTTGACTTATTGTACACCCTTGAAGTCGAACCTGGAGTACATAGCGGATGTAGCATCGATGGAGTCGCCACTGGACGGCTTTCTGTGCAGCTTGATTCCGGATCTCTCCGCAGCCGTGATTCGGCTCTGGGCTTCGCAGCCACGAGGAGCAGCCTCCAATCAAAGGCCGGGTTCAAGCTTTTCTGCAGACACGAAGTGTGCGGTTGGGGGGAGAACGCGAGCCTGGCCCAAAAACTGAACTGCGTGCAGTTGTCCAGCGCCGCCCACCGAGACCAAAGGAGCCCCGAAAACAAACAAGACAGGCGATGCTCAGGACGCCACTCAGACACCGGGACACCACCCCTAAGTACTGGCGAATTCAAGCCTGTGGGAATTATGGGGTCCGACTAATTCTGTGAAGTAGCCGGACGTCATCACAAGTATGCATGGAGGATATTTTGGGGGAGTGATGGGAGAAGGTTTGCGTCTGTTCGCCTGACATGCCTTTCACGGCATTCACTAGCTCGGGAGTTCGGCAGGTCTTACTGTGCAGCAGGCAGCAATGTCATCTGAATTCGTCCCACACGCAGGTTCCTCACCCGGAATGCCGGTCTTGGCATCCACGCACACCAGATCCACAAAGCGCCACCGGAGGACCGGTTTCGCCGCGCTCTGCGTCTTGGTTGCAGTCGCACTTGCTTCTGGTTCGTTTTCAAGAAGGGCCCCTTGCCATTGGCCACCCGGCACAAGAAATGCGTCCTTGCCGAGGCGTGTCACTGGCGTGCTTGCACACATGGCAGAGTGGAAGCCTCGTCCCACGCTGCAATGCCAGGGTCTTAATGAAGCGGCTGATGCCCTGAATGCACAGCAATCGGGTTGCGTAGGTCGAAAGTCTAGAGGAGATGGGCCCAAGCCTAGGTCATGACTATGACGTTTGGGAATGGCTACCGCCTTGACTCTTGACCTGTGTCCAGAAGATGCAAAGCACGCTTGGCTCTGCAAAGCGTAGGTAGAACCACAGTATCTGAGGATAAGAACGATTTGCTGGGAGCTGGTGGTTATGGCAAGGTGTACAAATGCACGGACATGCAGGGCAGGGAGCTTGCCGTCAAGCAAGTCTTCACCGCAAACACAGAGGTTTTGGACAGAGAGATTGAGATTCACACCCACATTGGCCAGCACCCAAATATTGTTCAGCTCATCGACGCCTTTCCCATTGAGGGGGCAGAAGGGAAGATGATAGTGATGGAGTTGGCCAAGGGTGGCGAACTGGGGGACTTGCTGGAGAAGACGGGCCCTATGCCTGAGCAGAAGGCCAAGCACATCTTTAAGCAGGTCGTGGGTGCCATTCAGCACCTGCATTCCCGCAATATCCTGCACCGGGACCTGAAGTCTGACAACATCCTCCTCTGCACCGACAGCACTCACGACATGAACCAGCCTGTTGCCACTGAGACTTCGGAGTTCTGAGTCGTCTTGTGTGTTTGGGGATTCGGTTGTTTCTAGGATTCTAAAAGGGGCGCACGGTTTTTCAGGTGAAGCTGATCGACTTCGGAGCGGGCCACTGGGCGAAGACGGGGCCTCTGGTGGCGGACAAGTTCATCGGGACGCTGCAGTTCATGGCCCCGGAGGTGATCATCGCGCGTGGGGACGACTTCGATGCCACGGATGCCTCGCAGATCGAATCGACGGTTCAGATCGAGTTCAAGAAGCGGCCGTTTGGGATTCGGAAGTACAAGCCGGGCCCTGCCCTCAGAGCCGTCGGAATCCGCTCTGCCCAGCGGTGCCCGTGCCCAGGTCCGAACAACAAGGGCGCTCGCATTATTGAGGTCATCGAGCAGTCGCGATACCCAGGCACTGCCAGGGCCTTCCGGCCATAGCGGTGGCAAACGAGCAGAACGTTGGGAAACAACTGGGGCCCCCCTAAGCAGCAAGCGGAGGCTCCAGCAAGCAAAAGGCCCAGGACGTGGCGTAAGCTGTCCATAGTGGGTGAGGGCAGGTGAGGGGCCATGAAGCGCCATATGTGTTCAAAAGGCCAAGCATGGAATGACAAAAGTAGCAACGTATAGGCTGCAGGATGCAGCCACGGTCAAAGACCATTCTCAACCATGACCACATGACGACATGTTCTTGTTCATGACACATGCGGGCATCGTGGAGGAGTGCGCGTGCTGCAGGTGACCCTCTTGGCCAAGCTTTCGTAGCTGGGGTCCAGAACGAGTGGGTCGTGAAGTCGGCAACCTGGCTTCAAGCGAGGGCCACAAGAAAGCAGAATAGCGATCGTGGCCAGGCCGGATGCCGACAAGCATTGTTCTCGAGAGACCCGAACAAGTCACCGAATAGAGTGCCTTTGTGCCAAGCCAAGGTAAACGGAAGGGACGTCAGCAACATGGATTTCGAGGTGCGGCAATGTGGAGCACAGGCCTCAAGCTCCCTTCTGTTGCACCCAGGACATCCTCGACCTTATGGGCGATCGCTTGTTGGACAATTCCTCCCGTGGTGCATTCGATGGGTCCTTCAAGGTGACCGGTGACAACAAAGGACAGGGAAAAGTGCTGCCGAAGGTTGAGCAGGTGGAGCTGCCTGCGCAGATCCAGTATGCCAAGATGCGGTCGAAGCCCTACGATGCGAAGGTGGACGTGTGGTCCCTGGGCTGCGTCCTCTACCATATGCTGGCCGGTCGACCCCCATTTCCGCCAGAGGAGCCGGACGTGCTCGCAGGAAACTTCCAACCGCCACCAGGGGCTTCGCCGCAAGTCATGGATCTGTTGAACAAGATGCCTCCCAGCAGCAAGCAGGGCATTCTGTCCTTTGGATGCCAAGAAAATCTCGCCTAGAAGCGCTGACATCAGGCTCGTGGTGAACCCGGCAGCACGTGCCGATCTTGCCACGGTGGCTGTCCACCCCTGGATGCAGTGAGGTCGAGGCCGAGGCTCCGTTGACTCCAAGATATCACATGTTCAAAGCGTGCCCGCCTCCGTGCAGGGTCCTGAGAGCGCTGGCATAGCCCCTGAGATGTGTCACCACTTGCACTCACTCCGAGTAGTTTGTTTTCCGACTATCTGCTGCCTTCTGTGCCTCTGGACCACATGAGTCAAGTAGTTTAGCAGTTTAGCCTCTCTTTATAACCCGTGACACCAGTCGAGTGCATTTTACTTAAGCAGCTGGTCCCCGAGCTCGAGAGGGAAGGATCGTCCAGCCTTTGGGGACCAGTTTGAATGACTCCAGTTTTCCCAAGAAGCTTGAGCTTTCAATGAATTGGTGATCCGGGCTGATCTGCAGTTTTCCGGCCCATCTTCAGTACCAGTCTAGCTATCTCCTTTTCTACAGGTCTGCCTGGGAGTTGAGCCAGTAATGCATGAAAATTATACAGACCAAGACCCGCTTGCGCCTGATCTCCAATGCCAGGCCAAAACCAAGAAGCGGCAGAGCGGTTTGTGGGTGTGCAGGTTTAGGGTATATATCCGGCTACTGCCTTGCTGCCTTGCGTTGCATGTGACCTGCGCCGAGGCAACGGACACCTTTCAACACTTGTATTTGGGCGTTGGTGCTCTAGGCTTGTCCTTGATCTTCCATCCGAACCTGCACCTTGGACAGAGAGTCAGAGGGGAGGCCGTTTGCACGGGCTTGGGGCTTAGATGCCACCAGTACAGGCACATAGTCACATAGACATAGCCATTGGGCCAGATGATCGTCGACTCAGTGGATCTCAGGAATGGTTTTCTGCCTTCAGATATCGGCTGGGCTTTCGCTCTGTACTTGGTACCTCGGCATGCAGCCCTTCTGCGTCGTCCGGCCGTCCGTGCTCACTTTCCCTCTGTGTCTCTCTCCCCCCATTTTTCTGGGGGCTTGTCCGAAATCTGGGTGCAACTTACCTGCATACCTTTGCTAAGGAGTCTGTGGCGGTTCTGTGTCAGCTCTTCATGTTCATGAAAGAGGGCCGGGCGCAGGAGCATCCAGGTTAAACTCGATTCGTGCGTCTGTCAAGAAACAGCTGCGCTTCTGTCTGCGGAATGGGATCACACCCAGGCACACCTCCCACTTCCTGGCTGCGCAGGTTCGTTCGATCTGCGTGGCATGTGTGTGTGTGTGTGACCCTAAGCCGTCAGGCCCTGGCCAAGTTGATGAGCTTCATCTTCTGGGCCAGCTCGTTTAGCTTCTCGGCAGCATGCGGAAGAAGCAGTAGCCGGGCCAGCAACGCAGAAGCTGCGAACCCTCAATGGATACCAAAATCGTGGGAAGACTTAGAGGCATGTAGGATGCTCCTGAGCAGGCACACCGCAGGAAGGTAAAGCCAAAAACAGCAAACTGAACATAAACGTTGGGACATAGCACGGTGAAAGGGCAAGACCACAGGCAGCTTGATGAGGTGTTGACATGGAGATGTCGAAAGCAAACCGTGAGACATCGGTGCTGCAAGTCGGGTTTTGTCTCGGCGCCGTCACCCTAAGGTCGTAACGGGACCTTGAGGGAACATCCCATGAAACACTGGCACTTTCATTGATGTAGTGCCGCCCACCCCGACAAACCCTCGGCATCCATGGATAGTTTCAGAACCTCAGGCCACCGCTCCAAGCCCAGATTGATATCAATGCGACGTTTTCTATTTTCCTGACGATCGGAACTGACAGATTCCGTTTTCATGGGGTGCTTGTAGAGTCTTGTTGTCTTGCATCCCCAAGTGCCCTGCCCTAAGCTGCCCCTTTGTCTGAGGCGAGCTCTCTGACCCAAATCACCACATCAAGGCAGCAGCGCTGTACAGAATTGAGCCGGGAGCTTGCTGTCATGTCTTCCGGAGGCCTTCGTGGGAAACTGGGTGGTCTGTGCGCAGCTGGTGCAGCTTCTGATCATGGGGGACAGCAGCTGTTTATGTGAGGGCATGCAGAGGTCTGGAGAAGCTGATGTCACGGCATGGCATGCTTACGTCGGCATAGGACTTCATCTACCACTACATGCGATGCATCCAGCAAGGCAGGGGCCGAAGTCGGAAGAGTCCGATGACTCAAAGATCCCCATCACGCGTGCTGCAGGAATTCCTGTGTCCCAGCTCTTATCTTCGGACGCCGTCTAGATCTTCGGTGTGTTCTGAAGCTCGGGCCAGGTGCGTAGGGCGTAGGATGTGAGCCAAACGGGTTGTCGATGCGAGCCCGCTTGACATGGCAGCGCTTCAGAGAAAGCATGCGGTGGAGTAGAGGCAAACATGTGTCCGGGCGCTCAGCCCTTTTTGACTCTAGGACAGCCTTCACGCAGACGGATGCAAGAAAAGAGTTTCGCTGTAACCAGCTGGATTGGTCGCCTTTGCTCCTCAAGTCGTGCCGGAGTGGTTTCAAAGAGGGTCTCACTTACTCGGAACGGCCCTGAGGCTCTTCTCGGCCAGCAAAGACTTGCTGGGCGTGTGGAGTGTCAAATCGGCCCAAACTGGTGCAGTCCTGAGATGCCATCAAGTGAAGCTGCAAAGTCTTGCTGAACAGCATGCAGTAACCCATCTGAGCGACGTCTGTCTGTCTCTTTGCATCTTTTTTTGGGGGCGTTTGGCTTCTTTTGTTCGCCCGTCTCGAAGGCAGCTGGGGCCGAAAAATCGGCACCATTCCCACGGCCAACGCGTAGCAGCCTCAGCCGACTGAATGCCAGCATCTTGCAAGCACTCTCTCTTACATACGTTTGAATCCCAAACCCACACCCCGAAACCCGTTGTTGCTGTTGCAAGTACCGTTACTTACAGTTTGCTTCCTTCGCCTTGTCTGTATGCTGAAGATGTTCACCACTCAAGACCATACCTGGCAGGCAGAGTGTGTAAGACCCAAACCACACCCATCTTAAACCCAAGAGCCGCAACAACCTAAGCCCCAACCCAACACCTTCAAGAGCGAGCGATGACAAAAAAAGCCGCGCCAGGCTGACCGGGGTGGCCTGGGCTCCTTCGTCCCGGGACAGCCGCTTGCTCTGGTCGCCTTCCGAGCTGATACCCAATTCAACCTTGAACCCTAGGTGCAATTCCCTGAACCCTCTAAGACTCCACCCTCAACATCCCCCCTGCCGCGAAACCCCAATCCTGAAACCCGAAGCGTTGGAGGAGATCCTGGCGAGCTGTGCTACAGGTGCCGTTGTTGCGACTTGGCTTTGTAGTGTACTTGAGGAGCATAGTGTTTGGCTTCTTTTGGCTGTTGCAGGGTTTGTACTGGGAGAGTAGAGTTCGACCGGATGCTGGCTGGGGAGGTTCGACGTGCGCGCAAATCAGTTGACACCGGAAAACAGATTTTGAGATGCAACATTTGTCAGTATCATTGGAACTGTGCTGAGAATTAGTCGGACGAATGAGTGCTGCGGAAAAGTGCTCCAAGAGAGGCCCGGCTCGCGGCGGGTGGGGGGGCAGGGCGGGACGGAAAATGGTGGCGGCGGCGGCTGTTGTTACGAGCGGGCGGCTGATGTGATTTTCATACCAGTTGAAAGCTGTAAGCCGATGCATTCGTGCATGATTGGGATGTGGAGCACGTTTTTTAGTAGCCAAGCAGCCGAGAGTGCTTTCGAGGCTTTTGATGTGGATAGCTGCATGCCATCATATGCCTGGAAAGCGCACGAGGCATCCCGGATGTACTGCGGAGCGACATTATTGCCATGCAATGTGGATGGCGTGTTTCTTGTGATGTGATGGGTTGCAGGACGAGATTACCCAAATATGCTGGGTAGACAGCCATCGGCGGCTTCTCACGGCAGCCAAGGCTACACGGATCCATGTAAGTCTCGGAGGATTTGAGTTTGAAACATGTTGTGATTGCAGCAACTCACATGCTGGCAAGGACAGGAAGCTTCGCATTTGGGATTTCCCAGCTCCGGGGCGTGTTGGGCTCTCAGCCCTTCATTGGGCCATTCCCGTGTTGTTGGCATTGGCCGCCTTCTGCACAGATGAGTCTCATCATGCAAACTGCAAGAATGCAGCGGATGTGGCAGGAGTTTTCGCCGTTCCACTCACCTACGTTGAGTTTCTGGGCTGCAGATCGATTTTCTGGATCTTGCAAGTCTTCATGCTTTCCACTTAATTATGTGTGAGGAGCATGGGTTGTTTTTTTTTCCATGCCGTCCTTGTCGGCTGTTGCTTGTCTCAGCATGTTTCAGCTTCAGCTTTCCTGGATGCGCACTCCGAGTTCAGAGTTTTGCCGTTAAGGCACAGCTCCCAGTATCTCTGCTCCCGGACTGGGCCTCAGTGAAACGGCGAGCAGTTCGCCTTATCGTCATAACCACGGCCATGCACAGCGACACAGATTCCTGTCTTTGTGGTTTAGACTCCTGAGCTTGTGTCCCGTTTTGCCTTCGGGTCTTTCAGCTGCAGCAGGCAGTTGAGTGGTGTCAGCTTACCAAATGCACCGAAAAGCAACCTCGCTGCCGGCTGTGCGGGTGAGGGGGGGGGTAGGGCGGGTAAGAAAAGTGCTGCCGACAACCAGTGACAACTGAGGTCGACGCCAGTCTGCTCAGCTTAGGGGTGCTGCAGCTAGCACCTCAAGCCTGGACCTTAGAGTGGGCTATAGCCGGATCCCTTTACGACGGCGTGTTGCAGCTCGTGCCACAGTTGACGGAGCAGGGTGTACTGTCGTCGGTGATCGTAGAGCAGCGCTTTCCGCCGATCTCAACTTTAGAAGTGTCGGTTGCGACTTTGGCTCAATCAGGACAGACCACACCTTAGTAGGTTAGTATAGTAGCATTTTCGGCAGACGAAGCTCGACTTCCGCCCTTCGGTCTTTCGGCCAAAAGTGGGTGGCCGCGAGGCCACACATGGACCCATCCCTACGGCAGAAGGGAGGCCGTCTGCAGATTGATGCATCTTTGAAGCCACCTTCGTTGAAAATACCGGAGGCACACGGATCCCATGGACACGTCGGACACGCCCATGGCAAACCCCGTGTTCCACACACGAAGATCTATTTTCATGTAGCATGCTCCACCTCGCCTGGCGAGTATGTCCGTGTTGTCGGCGACCATGAAAGCCTTGGGAGCTGGCAGTCCAAAAGAGGTATACAGTTGGAGACCAACGATGACATATACCCCGTTTTCATCTCGCCCAATCCGATTTTCGTAGAGCTGCATGCGCGTGTGCAGTACAGATATGTACTTTGCGGCCCTGATGACGAGCCTAGGGAATGGGAGGGATCCGAGCAAACACGCTCGCTGATAGCCAATGGAACGGAGATGACCATGGAAGATGATGATGGCATCTTTCGGCAAAAGGTCGGCTTTAACGAGCAGCAGGATAGCGACGATGAGTTTGACGACATGTACCACATACAAACCAGGCAGTCGATGGTGAAGAACATGGACACAGATCAGAAGCGGTCATTCCTCAAAGAGGTGCTGGAAGACCAAATCGAGATAGGTGCCAGGGACACAATCTTCATGCTTGCCTTCCAGCTCCCCGTGAAAGTTTTCAAGGACAGTGGCGGGACCTGGAGGCTCAGCGAAAAGGCGCCCAATGATGGCCGCAACTTCGCTTTCCTGCCGCTCTTGCAGGAAGTCAAGGACAAGAAGAAGCTGAAGGTTGTGAATATTGGTTGGCCAGGTGTGCACCCCGAGAACGACAGGGAAAAGAGAGAGATCGAAAGATTGCTTGCACCTCATGACTTCGTCCCGGTTTTCCCTCCGCGTGCGGAGTTTGAGGCCTTCCTCAACTTCTGTCGCACATTCCTTTGGCCCGTTCTTCATGACAGCATGCAGTTCTTCCAGTCGGCGAAGGGCGAACCCTTCAGCGAGCAGGGCTGGGCCGCATACCAACACATCAACAACATATACGCCTTGGCTGTGGTGCCTCACACGCATGAGAACGACTTGATATTCATTCAGGACTACCACATGCTGATGACTCCAACCTTCATTGCGCGGAAGATTCACAAAGCAAACATTGGGTTCTATCTTCATGCACCATTTCCGTCTTCGGACAGTTTCAAGACCCTCCCTGTCCGTGAGGAGATTCTGGCAGGCATGCTTAGTGCCGACCAGTTAGGTTTTCAATTTTTCTCTTACGCTCGGAACTTTCTCGTGAGCTGCAAGCGGGTGTATGGTCTTGATCCTACTTTCCGAGCTGGTGGCTTCACGGGCCTGGAGTACAACGGGAGAACGGTCATGATCAAGGTCGCGCATTTTGCGTATCCTTACCAGGCCAGCATCAAGGCCTGCAGGGGTGGGGTCTGGCGTTGCTTATGAGAAGGATCCCACTACTAGGCTTCTGCAGAAGGTCCCCTATTTTGAGTGAAGATGCAGCTAATGAAGTCTAAGTAGGTCCTTGGTGTCCCGGGCACAGCCGAGGTGGTAGACTGTGAAGAGGTGCAAAAGGAGACCTTGAAGATCAAGCAGCTCTTTGAAGGAAAGACGATCTTCGCATGCATGGACAGGGCCGATGGCCTGGCTGCACTTATTCCCAAGTTTCAAGCCTTCAGGCAGTTCTTGAAGGAGAGGCCAGAGCATCAAGGAAAGGTAATCTTGATCCAGTATTGCTTTGATTCTCTGGGTGTAAAGGATGCCAACACAGCCGCCCAGCTTCGTGCGGAAGCCGATGCTTTGATCAATGGCCAGTTGGAGATAACAACGAGGGACGGGGGATCGCCTGATGATTGCAGCATCTTCCTACGCTTCGAAAGGATCGAGCGAACAGACAGGCTAGCATTGTTCAGGGCTGCTGATGTCCTGCTCGATACTAGCGCCAAGAATGGTCTGAATCTCATGCCGTTTGAGTTTGTGGCCGCGCACCACGACATGGATGACAACAAGGCATGCATCGTCAGCGAATTCTCGGGTTGCAGTCGAGTGCTTTTGGGCTCTTTGCGTGCCAACCCGTGGAACAACTCTGCACTTTGCGGCATCATGCAGCGAGCCCTCACCATGACAGAGGAGGAGAGGAAGGATCGGTTTCAGTGCAATCTGCAGTATGTCTCGCAGAATTCTCCAATGGTTTGGTTCGAAGATTTCCTGACCGACTTGAAGCGAGCACGAAAGAAAGATGACGTCAGAATTGAAAGTATTGGCTTTGGTGCCAAAATCCGCCAGGTCGCCATCGGCACGAATTTTCAGAAGTTGCCCATCGATGGGGTTCTACATGCTTTTCGTCAGGCCAGAACGCGTGTCTTCTTCTTCGACAACGAAGGCACCCTGGCCACAGACAAGAGGCATGTATACCGTCAGTATGGCGCGCACATGGGCGACCTCACAGACCTGCAAAGCCGCGGGTCGGCTCCCAATCAGCAAGTCATGGACTGCTTGCAGACCCTGTGCTCGGATAACCACAACATTGTGGTGATTCTGAGCGGCCGTAATCGTGAAATGATGGAAGGGTGGTTTGGGAGTGTGCCCCGCTTGGGCTTGGCAGCAGAACGCGGATTCTTCTACAAGTTGCCCTTCAATACGGGGGGACAGTGGCACTGCATGGTGCAGCGGCCAGACTACACATGGAAGTCTTTTGCCTTTGAGATCATGCGGAACTTTGTGAAGCGAACACAGGGAAGTTTCATCGAGAACAAGGGCAGCGCATTGGTTTGGCAGTATCGAGACGCAGACCCCCACTTTGGATCTTGGCAGGCCAAGGAGCTCAGCAGCCATTTGAAAGAGTTGCTGGGTTGTTCTTCAGGAGCTGAAATATTGAGGGAGCCTTCTCAGGAAACCGGACAGTGCTTGCGAAATCTTTGTATCTGTACTTATTGAAACTCATTTTCAGTTCTCTTTGCAACAATCCCAGGTTGCTCATTGGCTACGACCTCGAGATCTTGGAAGGCAAGGGCTATGTCGAGGTCAAGGTCAGTGGCGTGAACAAGGGCGTGGCCGTGACCAAGGCACTCACCAAGGTGTCGCAGTCCTTCGGCGAGGTAGACTTCATTCTATGCATTGGTGACGATCGCAGTGATGAAGACATGTTTGAAGTGGTCAATCAGATGCTAGATCCCGCAGATGAGTTGGAGACGCCTTCGCAGGTCAGCCAAACTGAGGACAGCTCGGAGAACGACGAGAGCGTTTCGAAGTTGAAGGCCAAGTCGGAAACCTCACTCCTCCCAAAGCGTCAGAGCAGTGGGAAACTCTCAGGAGGAGGTGGGCTTTGTGGCGGCTTCGGTGGAGACCTCCGAGGGAGTTTGTCAGGTGGTTTGGCAAGCCTTGGTGAGGACAACACACCGCAGGCCTCTAGAAGGTTTTTTACGTGCACTGTTGGCCGCAAGCCCAGTGCTGCGAAATTCTTCCTTGATGACACCGAGGAGGTTTCTGAGTTGCTCGCGAGTTTGAGGCAGGTTCAAGAGAAACAGGCCAGAGTTCCGTATCCGAGTGCGCGGTACGACAGTTTCACCCGTTAGTTGGATCTTGGATGCGGCTCAATACTCAGTGCTTCTGAACAGCCCATCCATCTTGGCGGGCCATTGTATACTATACTATGTAAGTCTTGTGAAATGAAAAGTCTTAACAGGCGAAGTGCCAGGCACGTTTGCCGAGCCTCACAATCGATCTCAGTATTGCCAGACGTGACTTTCAGCGGACGCCGACTGCTAATGGTTCAGCACAAAAGGACTGCAATGAAGCACCTCGTGTCGATGCAGCAGATGGCGGATGGTGCATCGATTGCTGTGCGAGGTACTGTGCCGGCACGCCAGGCTCTTCCCGCTTCTTTGAGCTATGGTGTCTCGTGATGCGGATCCTCTTGAAAAGACCCGTCAGCACTTGCCAGGACCCTCCAACCAGCACTTCACAGGTTCACCGCCTCAGCAAACCTCAAGGGTACAGGTAAGGTACTTTCAGAGCAGACCACGGATTCTCTGAGCAGCAAGGGAGGGTTCCCTTCTCTGGCAAGGTGCCTCCAGCTGCCCACGGCTATGCATCGCAAGCTCCAGGATGCCTGTCTTGCAGCGCAGATGAAGCCCTCAACCGTCGGGGTACGGTTCTCAGGAGCCAGGGCGCCTATGCCGGCGACAGGAGCAAGGGCGCCTATGCCGGCGAACGACTCCGATGATGACTTGACCGGTTGGGATCGATAAGGCCTCCTGGCTTCGGGCACTGCGACTGTATCCAGATCCACTGCTCGGTGCAAACATGAAGCAATGTGGGAGTGCCAGTGCCAAATGCTTGAATAAATGTGTGTCGCGAGGCACATGTGATGTTTGCTAAGCCCCCTTGTCGGGACGAGTCCCGTGTGAAGATGTTTCAGATTGGGTCATCAGGCAGCTGCTGGCAGCATTCCGGAGAACCATCCTCGCCGGACCTTTCTCAGGGCGGCTAGGCCTCGATTCCAGACGGTGGCAAGCGGCAAAAAAAGGTGCGAGGAAAGTTGCAAGTGACAACAACAGTTAAGACAACAAGCAACAACAGCAACAACAACAACACCAACAACAACAACACTCCTGCTGCTGCTGCTGCTGCTGCTGCTGCACTACGAACAACGACTACGGCTACGGCTGCGACTGCCACTACGACGACGACCGACTACTACTCAGAATAAATTTTGTAGTAGTATTACTATCCACAAGCAACAATCAGAGCCATCATCAGTCAGAAAGAACATGACGGAAACAGTACTAGCAACAGCACTAGCAGCCACAACAGCAGCAACGAAAACACCGTTCTTCTTGAAGCAGGCTATCCGGGCTGCCGCGTCTTCGCTTTCCGCAGCCTTATCGGGAATGGAGTAGGGGGGCCGGCCCTGTGGGGGGAGGCTACAAGTGCGGGATTCTCAGGGGAAGGGGTTGAGGATTCACGGCATTGAGAGCCCTGGGTGTTTGGGGCGTTGGGTTTTTGAGTTTAGCGCTCGGGGGTTTAGGGTTTCGGGTTTATTTTTGCTGATTCGAGTCTGTAGCCACTTTTCAGAAGCCCACGATCTGGCGTGTGCCAACTCTTGCTCTAGAACGCCGCTCGAGGATTTGAAGCAGAGTCGCCAGAAATCAGAAGGTTGAACTGATATATATATATATATACATACATACATACTCCAAGGTTCACTGACTCACTTGTAAGCTGGGTATAGTTTCAAGTCCGAAGCCCCGGTTGAGTGGTGAAGCTTTCCAAGTGGATGAGCAATCGATCCGCTCCGCACGCAACAGACGCCGTATATTCTGGCTACGCATAGTCCCGTGGTCCATTATCGGCGCGCCAGGTGCACGTGGCTTCATGTTCTCCGGAGGCCAGGGCCTGGATTGTGGAATGGAACCCGGAGTGATTCTTCAAACCCTAAACCCTAAACTGGCCGTAAACCCTACACCCTACTTAGTATGAAATCTTCTAGAGAAGACCCAAGAAACTCACATCTTTCGGGTCTTTGGCTTGTCTTATCCTGCAGGCTGGGGCCTTTGCAATGCCGCCAGTGCCACTTGGCCGGATCTGCGACGATAGATATAGTTTAGTAATAATTATTGGAAGAAGCTCATGGCCGTGATGATTCGTCTCCTTCGGTACCGTACGGCCGAGTTGTAGCACATTCAGTCGAAAGATGCCTCCTTTTCCGCGAAGAGAGAGAGCCAGCAGCTCCCGAAACCTCAAACCCTGAATCCTGGCAGTTCCCTACTCCCAGGCTTTGCAGTCCGACAGAAGCAACTTCGATCCATCACTTCTGGAATCGGACAGGCCCGAGGGCTTACGAAGCCGAAGGCCTTCTTTATAACTTATACACTATCTGCGGTCTGCTGCGGAAGGATTTGTTTACACTTTTGGGGGGGTCCGGGGATCTGTTGAAGCTTTGGTGAAGTGCCTAGGTTCAGCCAGCTGTTGTCACAGCGACCTCCATCGCCACCCCGGGCGCAGTGCCGGGCTCAGACGGTGGGGCACCGGGAGCTTCTCATCATGCGCTGCTCCCAGGGACTCTTCCCAAGCCACTCCAGGCTCAAAGGGGCGAGAGAGGGTCAGAGATCATCGCCCTAAACCCTAAACCCTA